GTAGTTTGGGGAAATGATTGATAGATGAAGTCCCCGAGAGCACTGAAAGCTCAGACTTATTAGCGCTCAAACTCGCCACGACGCGTCGAGCTTGGTGGCACGGTAGGGGGCTGCCCCATGAGTGGTCAGTTTTGTCTCATGCCTAGTTGCCATTGGCTGGTCCACATCGTCTGGCAACGACCGCAATTGAAAAAGCCAGTAACTCTCAAGAGGGGATCGGTTTATTGAGCAGTGACGATGTAGGCTTTTGCCAAGGTGAAACTTCAGCTAATTCAAAGGCTTAGTTCACGATAATTTTGGGTAACCCAGGTTATGATGAAAAATGGACAATGAGGTGGAAAATAGTGCGATGAAAGTCAATTATTCCCCTCTGAAGTGTGCGCTCTCACATTCAACTTCGATTCATAATCGTAGTGGCACATGCGGTCCATACAATGATTTGCGTTGGTTGACCAATATACAATCACCTACCTCCAAAAAATTGTATTTCTTGCAAAATGACCTTTTCAAATGGCAACGAAAGGGATAACATTCCCAAGTGCTTCACCGCTCTAAATTTTCGGGAACCGTCTAATCTACTCCATTAACTGTGCGTCCCGGACGACGGGTCTTCTACGCCTTCGACGCTTCTTATCTGAACTCTCTCGTGGCGGGGAGTGACTTGTAAAAGTTTTTCAAAGCCACCGCATCAGGTTTATTTAGTTTCAATCAATTCGGCCTCGAGAGAGCGGCTATTGATTTGATTTGATCTGCTAGAAATCGAATTGAACGCTGCTCATCTCGCGATCGTCATGGTTAGTAACAATTCCCCGTGCTCTGTCGTTCAGGGGGCTAAAAGGAACAGGATCGAGCTTTCGCCGATGAATATGGATTCGCGAATCAGGAATGCGATCAGGCAATTGAATGATGACGATTCTATCCCAGCTTATGTGAAGACCCTCTTCAATTATGTGCTCGACTATGCGGATCAAATGGATGCAGTGATCGGTCGATACAAAGAACTCGAAGGTGAAGTAAGAAATCTGAAATGTGATTTCGCTAAGATGGTTCAGTCTTCGGGTGTAGACGCTTCGATATTGCTTTCAACGAATAATGTTAATTCTGACGGAAATCTCAATTCTGTAAATCCTTCCAGTGCAGTAGGAAACGCCATTGAGAAAGCTGATTTGTCTCATCTTATTGAGGAGAAAGAACGTTTACGTTCAGTAGTTATCTCTAATATGCCCGAATTATCCAACCCTAGTGCTGTCGCAAGAGGGATACATGACGGGAACTATTTGCGGAACGTTCTTGATTTCCTTTCAATTGAATGTGGCCCACAGGCCTTTTACCACCTCGGGAGACCGATGGATGGTGGGGCAAGATTGATGAAGGTTGTTTTTCCTTGCCGCTTTTACCGTGATCTAATATTAAAAAATGCCCCTCGCATGCGTTTCTCTAATAAATTGGGTATTTTCATAAGACCTTCATTGACTAAAGCCGAACGTGCAAAATGTTCTCCTTGGATCAACCCCCATCTACGTGTTAATAAGCAGCATAGTGCTCGCAATATTCCAAATTTCCAGCCTGGATTTAGTAATTCTTCTGCTGTGTATGTTGCATCTGTAGCACTTCCTCCTTCTCAAGTTCCGACTCAACCAATTTATGGTTCGCCTCAGAGCACTGCTCCTCCTGCTGTGACTCCCTGCTTTCATAGCCCTTCTGTTTCTGCTTCTTTAAGCTTGACTTGTATCGTTGGAGCACGAACTCTCCATTCTATTCAATTCTTTCTATTCTTTAAAATGTTTAGTAGTAAATGTTAGATCTCTTACAAAAAACGCTCAGCATTTGGTATACTCAATTATCGAAAACAGATATGACCTAATTGCAAACACCGAGTCTTGGCTAAAGCCCACTATCGAGACAGCTCCTTTACTTTACCCTTTATTATCTGACTATAATGAGGTGCGATGTGACAGACTTAGAAAAAATGGTGGAGGTGTTGTATTGCTCTCTAGAAAGAACACTCATTACAAAATGGTTTTCAAGGAAACGGTGTTTGAGGGTTATGAAATCCTTAGCTGCGATTATGCCTTCAGCTCAACTTTTATTAGAGTTATTTGCGTATATCGCGCTCCGGATTGTCGTGCCGACATGAATGAGCAGTTGTTACGAGCTTTAAGCGATCTAGTAGCCTGTGACCAACCCTGCGTTATCGTTGGAGATTTCAACTATCCTGATATCGACTGGACCGATCCTCCCACTGCAGTAATGAAACCTAGCAAATCCTTTTTAGAATTACTCACTTCCCATGGCATTTCTCAATTTGTTACTCAAACTACTAGGCTTTACAACATCCTGGATTTAGTGCTGTCCAATGATCATTCCTTGGTAAAAGATGTAGTCATAGGCCCTCCGATCGGTACTAGTGACCACTGTTGCATTGAATTCAATATATGTGTGCCTCAACCGCAAGAGGATAAGATTTTCTTCCGTGATTACAGTAGGGCCGATTTTCGTTCCATTAATAGATTCTTGGAAGATGTGGACTGGCTGGGGTCACTGGGCAGTCTACGTTCAGCCAATCAAATGTACGAGCTTTTTCTTTTTGTTTTGAAGCGCGCCATCTCTTTATATGTTCCTTTCTCGCAAAAGTCTAGCTCAGGCAAGATGCCACATTATCTGAAGCGACTTTCTTCTGCTAGGACTGAGACTTGGCTTAAGGCTAAGCTGCACCCTTCACGGACCAATCTTCAGGAATTTTCTTCTGTCAATGGAATTTTCGTGAAAAAATTGGCTAAATACAATGCATCTGTAGAAAAGAAGGTTATTGAGTCGAAGAAGCCTGCTCTATTCTATAGTTTGATCAAGTCCAAGCTCAAGAAAGTCGATGGTATCATCTCGCTTGTAGACGCTGATGGCAGACATTCCTTTAGTGACAGCTCAAACGCTGAAATATTGGCTAATCATTTTGCTAAGGTTTTCGCATCCACGGAATCACTGTCGGATGCCGCCCCGCCTGGGATGCACGAACACCCTCCTATGCCTGATTCGGTGTGGTTTACTAGGAATGAAATATTGGAGGTTTTACTAAAATGGAGGAAAAACTCAAGTCTAAGCCCTGACGGTATCCCTTTTCGATTTATTCAAAAAGTTGCGCACAATATCTCGTTTCCATTAGAGCTGATTTTCAACTACAGTTTTATGCATGCAGATGTACCGCTCCGTTGGAAGCATTCGTTTGTAGTACCCATACGGAAAAAATCTCCAGATGATGACCCTGCAAACTATAGGCCTATTAGTCTCACTTCACTCTTTGCTCGAGTTTTTGAGAAGATTCTAAAGAAAAGGATTGTTAAACATTTGGAAGATAACTCCTTAATTCCTGAGGAGCAGCATTGATTTACTTCGATTTCGAAAAGGCATTTGACAGAGTCCCTCATAATAAATTGATAATCAAGCTAAGGAAAATAGGTATTCATCCCAGAATTGTTAATTGGATAGGTAGTTATTTGGAAGGAAGGTCCTTTCAAGTAGTGATCAATGGTAACCACTCTTCGTCGAGGCCTGTCCCCAGTGGTGTACCTCAAGGTAGTGTCTTATCTCCAATTTTGTTCAATATTTACACTAGTGATGTTCCGGCGGTTTTGCAGCCGCTAGGAGTAGTCTGTAAGATGTTTGCAGATGATGTAAAATTATACAATAACGGTCCTTTATCCCCTGAAAAGTCCGACATGCAGAATGCAATCAACTTACTAAGTCAATGGTCAGCTGATTGGAGTTTGCCGATATCTATTAGTAAAACAAAAGTTCTACATATCGGTCCCAACAATCCACGTAACCCTTATTATCTCCAGGGCAAGGAATTAGCTGCTGTCTCCGAAGTTAGGGATTTAGGCTTTCTTTATGATGAGAAGCTTGACTTCACTCAACATTGTAGGGTAATCAGGAACAAGGCTACAGCGCAGGTGCTCACACTTTTCAGGAGTTTATGCACAAAAAACCCCAAAGTTATGCTTAATGCTTTTGAAACATTTGTTAGGCCAATTGTGGAATACGGTACTACTGTCTTTTGCCCAACGAAGAAGGGGATTATAAGTGCCCTAGAGGGTGTACAGAATAGTTTCACTAGGAAACTCATGATGCGGATAGCCGGCATAGATTATCGATTGATTCCACGTAGTGAGACTAGGAATACAATATTCAAACTTTCTAGCTTGGAGGCAAGGAGGAAGAGGAATGATTTAACGATGGTGCGTAAAATCCTGAGAGAGGAGGTCAAAGTAGGAAAATCCTTTTTTCGAGTGTCGGCGTCGAATACAAGAGGACCTCCAAACTAGCGCTGTCTTTACTCAAAACTTCAG